ATAAATAATATGTGTAATGATTCGATGTCCGGGTGTGTTCGCTCATCTCACAGCAATCGACGAGACAGACACAACACTTCCCAAGTGGCAGGACACCCCCCGCGCTGACCTTCTGACTCGACTGTCGGAAACTGTAGGCCGTTTATACGCACAGGTAGGGATATTTCGATATGTACACAATTAGTGATATCGCGATATGGATACACAATTAGTGATATCACGATATGTACACATAACTAGTGATATCTCGATATGTACACACAATTAGTGATATCCGTATATAGAGAGTTTCATAATACGTCTGTATGTACTGATTTCTGGGTGCTATGTTTCTTCATATGTAAATACAGAGATATAAATGTCTGATTCTGTATGTACTGATTTCTGGGTGCTTTGCTTTTTCATACCTATATACAGAGATATAAATCTTTGATTTTGTATAGACCTATTTATGGGTTCTTGGCTTCTTCATACGAATTTACAGAAACACAAACGTTTGATTCTATATGTACTGGTTCCTGGGTGGTTGTCTCTCTATCCGCCAGCTGACTAAATTTTATCCCGTTCGCCTTCTTCTCCACAGGCAGAGGGGATGGAAGTGTTGAAGCTTGAAAGCGCACGCCATAACGTACCTTGCGCGCAGATGGGCACGGAAAGTGAGGCGTACAGATTGGCAGAAATGGCTCTAAAAAAAACGAATTCCGGAAAGCCAAATTCACCGAGGATGAACTCAGGGGGAAAGAGTCCCGAATCTTTCCTCAGGCGAATTCTTTCGCTGGCAATAAGGTATGTCTCATATCAGTGCTTCTTCCATCTTTTACGTTTTATTAGTTTCTTTAGTGTATTATTTGTTTCTTTTGTGTTTTATTAGTTTAATTTGTGTTTTATAAAAAAAAATTGTGTATTATTTGTTTCTTTTGTGTTTTATTAGTTTCTTTTATGTTTTATTAATTTCTTTAGTGTATTATGTGTTTCTTTTGTGTTTTATTAGTTAATTTCTTTAGTGTATTATTTATTTCTTTTGTGTTTTATTAGTTTTTTTATTGTTTTATTAGTTTCTTTAGTGTATTATTTGTTTCTTTTGTGTTTTATTAGCTTTTTTATTGTTTTATTAGTTTCTTTAGTGTATTATTTGTTTCTTTTGTGTTTTATTAGCTTTTTTAGTGTATAATTAGTTTCTTTGTGTATAATTACTCCCCGGGCCCAATGAAAAATAAAAATGAATCAACCTTCTAGAACTCTCGAGAAAACATCCATAACCCCCCCCCACCCCCCCAACCAAAAAAACCCCCTATTTAACTATTATGTACAAGTCACTCCAACATCCTGGTATCGATCTCTCTCTAACCTTCTTGTCAGGTGGGCGATGATGATATGCAGATCTCATCTCTGGGCACACCCTTGCAAAGACCCCAGGCTCCGCCAGAACAGCCCCAGCATGCATCAGAGAAAAGTTCGGGACCAGCTGCCACCCCTCCGCGGTGTCCTAGCGAGTTCGAGCTGCCCCTGCCCATAACTACACAGGATTGGGCCGCGGACTCGGACCCGAACACTGACCCGGATGTGGATACCGGTACAAATAAGGATACGACCATGGCTGATGGTTCGGGTACAAGCACGGGTACGGACGGAGATAGTGTGCCAGGGACGGATGGTAACGGGGATGTGGGTGTAATGGCGGTGGATCCTTTGGTAGAAGCGGTTGCTTCGCATGCAGACCCTTTGCACGAAAAGACCTCGTTGGCAAAGACCACGGCCGTAGCTACGGATATGGACACGCATATGACAAATACGACAAATACGACCAAGTCATTGTCGGAAGGTGTGCATGCGGATGCAGATAGGGATGCGTCGGATGAGGTGAGTGGTGTGAATGATGATAAGTCGGACACGGATACGCCCGCGAAAGCAGGCACACATACCGCGGAGAAGTCCAATGGAGAAAGTAGTCGCGCGCAGGGCTGGGTCCAGGCAAAGCTTAAACGTGGGAAACCGTTGAATGCAGGTTCGTGTGCTATGGAAGCCTTGAAAAAGTCCGGGGGGAAAGGGCCCGTTTTGTCCAATAAATGGGCCACATTGTCCGATTCTGGTGTGGGGTCTGGTACGGAGAGTGCAGGTGTGGGTGATGGGGGTGTGGTGAGTGGTGAGACACAGAAAAACGAAGGCCAAGCACAACAGCAAGTACAACAGAAGCAGCAGCCACCACAGCAACAAAATGCACAGGCACAACAAATCCGACCACAAACACAGCAAGTACGACCACAACAACAACAAATCCGACCACAGCAACAACAAATCCGACCACAGCAACAAATACGGCCGCAGCAACAGCAAATCCGACCACAGTCTCAGCAGGTACGGCCACAGTCGCTGCAGGTACGGCAGCAACCGCAAGTAGTACGGCCCCAGCAGCAACGTCCACAACAACAGCAACAGCAACAGCAGCTCAGGAAGACGCAGGTACGTGCTGTATGTTGATTGTACCTGAGGTAGTTTCGGGTAGGACTGCTTGTGATGTGATTCTAAAAAATGTACACACATATTGTACACAA